AAAGTGAGGGGATGGCGTCAGTTACTTCCTTGGTCGGAAGGGGCCTTGGAGGGGAGTGTTGTGTGACCGGAGAGCGCCAGTGTGGCCCGAGTGGCAGTGCGCAAATACTTCTAACAAAACCAAACACGGCGAAAAGCGAAGTAGGGGAAGTGTTGGATGCAGAAGACGTACAAAGAGACTCCTGGCAAGACTTCACTTTGCACAAGGGTCCAAGCTAAATCTCCCTAGATGCCGGTCTGCCAAACGTTGCCGGAACCCTGCATGGACAATATTAGTAGCGGCGGCCTTCGTGAGGCGAACAAGAGGAGCTCTTTGGACACTTGCCCGAGCAACTCACTCAGCGATTGGGAACATGCGCGCAATTAATTGGTCAGCAGTGACTTTGAGCGAGGATAGCCATGTCTTTCCATGCCGAAGATCTGCTTTTGCAGCACGTCTCATGATCATTGATCAGCCAGCCCTAGATCTCATCAGGGCTGGAGCTTTTTTATAGCGCCGCCTTATTACGGGGTTCAGATGCATTGTCGCGTACGGACGTCCATCCACGCTGCAACGGGCCTGCGGCCAGTATTTGGGCTGGGCTGCTTTCTCACGGCCACCGAGAGATACGAAACACATTTACACTTTTCCTCGTCCGACGTTCGATCCGATGCGGCGCGATATGGGAAACAAAACAAATGTCTCCGCGGTCGGAATGAGAAGCTCGCGTGAAGGCGATAACTCAGATTCAACTGGTGGCTGAGCAGATTGAAGCCCAAACGTGTGAAGTACGGCTCGTATGAATAAAACGTCCAGTCTGAATATGAAGAATCTGCAATGTTAGTCCTGTTGCCGTCTTGTCAAACAAACCTCCTGAGTTTCCTTGACTTTAAATTTTTGCCATGACAACCCACTTCGCTGTCAGGTACCTTTCTTGCTCTGACTGTACATATTCAAGTGCGTTAAGTGACTGAGGAACCGATTGGTCCAGAAGGAACCGGTTGGTCCGACCTGTCTCAGTAAGTCGGGGAAAAGACCTTGCTGGAGGATGAGGTTTTGGGGCCCAAGTGTCAGCAAGTGCGTGTCACCTTCGGCGCGCCCAGTGGCGATCCGCTCCACCGGCACAATAGAAAGAGGCGCTTTAAACAACGTGCTTGATCCCCTGCCATATGCCCTCGTATTTGCGCGCACGCGAGAAGCTCGTTGCCTGGGAGAGCCTACCGGCCGCATGGATTCTCGGCTGGACATCCCGATCGGGTTCGGACTCGATGCGCTCGGGTAGGAGCTGAGTCGGCAAAGTAAAGTGTATGGCGCCACAAATGTAACTTCACATTTGAAAATCCTCACCGTTCAATCCTCTTTTGTTTCGGTGTTTGGTGCACCGTAGCTCAACTTCTTACTCCGGTCAGTACACGTGAGCCTCGAAGCACTCAAGGAGACGTGCATTTTCCCCGCGCCAGCAATCGGGGGCCGTCGCGACTTTACTGCTAACTGTTGATCACAGCATGGTGAGCACCGAAGCTCTTCTGACGTCGTCAGTGACTCGAAATTGGTCACTCGACGAGTGAACCTGGAGGTTTGAGTAATCTTTGGGACAGAAAAGATTGAATCCAGCCGGACTCCAAGTCCTCTTTGTGTTTTGAGGAAACAGGTCATTGTCAGAGAGCTAGGGACACGAATCGAAGGTTCTTCTTCTGTCCAAAACCGTACCGTATGAATTTGAAATAGCAAATGCGTGTCTTTGAGAGAGGGAAACTGTGCAAGTGCCCGAGTGCCACTTGCCAGTGGGTGAATTGGAAGATCCGCATGTCACCTGCCGGTAACCTAAGACACTTGGATAACAACAGACTGGCTTTCAGAGTTCCTCGACCGGTTGCACTTGTTGAGTACGCTGTGTCATGCGTGTGACTCTCGATGTGCTGAATCCATGCAGTCGATTTTGGTTCCCAACACCGAGCACGGGCCCAAACCTCCTGATCTGCAGAAACAGGCTTACCAAAGTACGCGTAGAAGGTTCTGATTTTGAGAATTGCATCAGACGGACTCTCCCATCTGTCGGCTTCTAATCCATCTAGTAGAGACCCACATTAACGGGTAGCTTCATTGAAACTCTGCCCGGATTTACTTGTATACGTATTGATAGGAGAAGAAGAAACAAGCAATCAAATGATGGACCAGATCATTGCCTCCAGTCATCGTTGAATTTCCTGGCGCATGGATGATCATATGAGTTGTAGATGTGCGTGATAACACATGCGTATCAGTTCGCCGCCGTGCACTTGGTTGCTCGATGAATGCGGACAACAGGACTCATGCACCGTGCTCGAACCTGCTGTGTGTACCGATACGAATGATCTTGTGCAGTTTTGGAATTCGAAAGCCTTGACGGAAGTTGATTCTGCAACCGGCCAGGCCGAAGTAGCTCGAATACACACAGGCATTCACATGATGTTGCTTACCGGGATGTAGGCGCTGCTGTTCTGAAACATCGATCAGAAGTCTGAGAACGTTACCTTATCGTGATCTACGTCTCGTGTTCAGATAGGTACACCAATCCAGCTAAGTTGTATTCGTATCGTCCTACGGTCCGGCCTCAAGGACCTAAAGCAGCCAATTGTACGACGTAAAGATTCCGAGAAAGCACAATGCTACGACTCTGGTTTATCCTACAAAATGGCTGAGAATATCTGTTCAATACCGACAGAATTTTGACAGAATGAATCAGAATCATAGGTTTGTCTGGACTCTTGATCTAATTAGACAAGCACATTAAAGGAGCTGAACCAGTTGTGGTGAGCAGCCAGTCTGCTCCGCCATCGTCCTTCTCCGCTTAAGTCGAAGGTCGCAGTCCCCATACTCTGCGCTCTTTCTCTTCTGAATACGTAATTCCGCCAGGACTCGGGCTCCTTCCAACCGGTTGCTATTTATCGACTTGAGCTCTCTGGCCGCTTTCTCAACCTGACCGTTCACCTCTTTTGCGGCGTGCCTGGCAGAGCCCGTCAAAGCCGTCGTCCCGGGGAGCCCTTCCGACCGCCCTGCTGTCCTCGCTTCGGTGTTTTCTTCTAACCGCTTCCGCTTCTCTCTGCTGTTCCGGTTGTGCTCGCAGCCTCCGTGCTCGTCCGCTGCGCCTTCTTCCGGCCAGGCTTTCAGCCGGAACCGGAAGTTGCCCGAAACCGACGCGTCGCCCGGAATCGATGCTTCGCCGCCGAGGAAGTCACACGCGTCCGCTAACGAAGTCTTGTACCAGTCCTTCAATTTCGAGCCGCTCTCCTCGAGGGAATCTTCCGCCGGAACCCAGCCCGTCACACAGCGGAACACGTGCCGGACGTACGCGGTCGACGCTGTGTTCATGCCGCGCAGCGCGGTGCGCATCCGTTTCATGGCCGCCCTTCGCGCCGTGGACGCGCGCTTCAGCTTGCGCGCGCTCGCTGGGCTCGCCGTGTCGCGGCGTGGATGATCCCTTTGGGTGACTTGGGTGTCCGCGCGCCGCCCGTGGGGTGCCGCGGCCCCACGGGCCTGTCTCTGATTGCGTCTCGAACACTTTTTGAGTTGCCAGTTACTGGTCTTCCGTCATTGCAAGCCTTCCTTTCCGGCTCTCGCTCTCTGAAGCCCTCCAAAACTCTCAGCTCGGCGGAATTATCTCTTTCGTGTCGCTCAACTCCTCTTCCACGACCGAGAATCGTTTCTTTTGTCTGCAACCTTCCCTGCTTCGTCCAGCCGAGCATTTCCTTCCCTTGACTTGACAGCTGTAGCGCCCGCGTTGACTGCCTCAGGCGCTTCCGAACCTCGTTCTCGTTCTCTTTGCCGTTACCATCGCAGGCGACGGCGCCCGCGTGCGATCTCTCTCGACGACTCACTTTCTTCGTGCCGTACGTCGCTTGGAGGCGACTCCAGTCGTCGGGCCAGAGCCTTAAACGGTACTCAAACGCCCCTCTCGTGTTTTTCTCGTCCTTCCTCTTGGCCTTAATTCGCACGTACCGCTTTCCGAGCCGCTCATTTTGCGGATACGTTCCTCGTACCAGGCCTTCACCCTCACGTCCCCGTCCGCTCGCCAGCGCGGCCGCCAGCCCGCAACCGCGAAGAACGCACGCGCGGCCTCCGGCGCGCTCACGCTATCCCAGCGCTCCCGGAGCGGCAGGATCACGCGCATCGCTTCCGCTTTGGACGTCACCCGCGGCTGGCCGGGGCCGCGCACACCTCCGTCGCGGGCGCCCCCGCTGTCGAGCCCGGCGCGCACGTTGCCGGCCGCGGCGCGCGCTTCGGAACTGCTGGGAACCTTCCAGCCGTTCTGACGCTTGGGCAGTTTGCTGGCCGCGTCGCGCGCCTCGAGTCCCGCCGCGTGCGCGCCTCCTTCCTGAACGCCCTTGCTGTGGCGCTCGCGCACCGTGTGCCGCGCTTCAAGTTCCGCCGCGTGCGCGCCTCCTTCACAGGCGCACTCACGGTCGCGCTCGCGCCATTTGGGGCAAGCGCCTCGGGCCAGGGTCTCAAGCGCAGAACCCAGCGGCTCGCTGTAACCGTACTCTGCCCGGGGTTCCGTCCGGTAAGTACATTTGACGCAGTACTGGCCCGTCTCCTGCATTCTTGTGAACTGCTTTTCGCAGCGGCTTTTGGCTTTTGCCTCTGTCTCTTCTTCCGGGCCGCTAAGAGTGAAGCCGTTGATCGACTCTTAGCAATCTCCGCTAGGCTCGCGTCCTCCCACCGTTCCAGCAGATTGCGGATATCCGGTTCGATTTGCGCTCTGAAGTTACAATAACTTTCATAAGATCAGCGTGCTTTCCGTCTCTGTTTTGCGGCTTGCGGCTCAGAATGTGCCGATCTATTTCAGGCGGCACCGTCACATGCCGCCATGCATTGTCAGAATCAAGAGGCGTAATTTTGTACCCATCGGAGAATGGCCGATTGCCCGGCCACGTATGGGCATGGGTCGTTGGGGTGGATCCGCATCATGTAGATCCGGCGAGAACATACTATCAGCTAGCTCGAGATCGGATCCATGATTGGCAGCCTTCGTGCTGATTCAGAAGTTCTTGAACTGTATATCGAGTGCAATGTCCAAACAAGAAAATGGGCAACTCCGCCTGAGCGAGCTACCCGCCCAGTCGTACCCTTCTGTACTGACAAATGATTGCCGGACAGAATCTGCTTCATGTTTTGTGTATTCACAAAAGTGCAAGCAAAGTTTGTTACCATCTCAAGAAAATTCTTTTTTGTCCACCACTTATGCACCGTGTCTAATCAGTGCGTCTGGCGAACAATCCCAAGGTCCTTCTGTGAGAATTGGCGCTTTACCTGTGCGCTGAAAGGATGCGACAACGGGCTACAATCACGAACTGAGTAACTGCAAATGCATATCCATAGCAGATTGCCGTTTCCCGTCCGCTAAATAACGACGAAGGCTCTCACTTTATGGTCTTCTACCTCGAGCTGCTCAGTCAGTGCGCGCATCAAAGCTCGAGCCGTGAGGCGGCGCGCGCGCGGGCGCTAGGATGGGCACTTAGAGAGCGGATACTCTCAGTTGCTACGCAGATCTACGCACGGTCAACTGTTTGCTGCTGAATTTGTGGATCAAGAAAGATAACATGAAAGTCCCTACCGTTGCTCGTTCGCAGCTAGACCCTTTGCGGCTTCGCATATTCTCATATAAGGAAAAGTCGTGTGCACAGCCTCAGCAGCTGCTGAATCAGGTGCCAATTGCTTCCCTTCACGGATTAGTGCGGCTCAGACGAACCCGCCTGGGCAAGTCTGAGGCCTTCACTGGAATCGCTTAACGAGCACCGACCGGATGATGGAGCGTCGAAGACCAGAATGAAGCATGCAGGGACCTTGACCGTGTATGGAACAATGACCGGGCATAAATGGGCGACGGACATCAGCGGCTTCGTCAAAGGAACAGCGAAAAGTCCCTTAACACTTCGGGACTTAGAGTATATATGCAGGGTATGTATATATACTCTGAGTATATATTTCTCTGGAAAACTAGTGTAGGCAGCGCCTCAGGATCGGATGCCACGTGGCTTGAATAGTAACTGGGCCGTCGCCTGTACAAGGCGAGCTTTGGCATCTCGGGCACGGGGAGTGGCCGTGACTGGTTGAGACATCCAGGGAAGACGTCGAAGAAGATGAGGCGCACTTGGGAACAATTAAAAATCTGGGAAAACCATAAATGGATGTCAGTATTACACTTTATCGCCGACTGAGGGGCCCCGGTTGAGCAGGTCATCACGGGACAGCTATAAACTTAGATGAGTACTGCCGCTGTGGCTCTCCTAAACGTTCGTGTAAGGGACACGAAGCAGATAATGATCATTGTTTCATCCAAGCTGCATCTTTCAGTAGAAGACGTTGATTGCAACTTAGCGAATGAACGGTTGGCAAATGCTATACGCTTTTCGTATCACTTTTTGTCATGTGCACAGTTGTTCGAGGGAGTCCGACCTCTCGTCTTAGGTTTCTTTGAGTCTTGTGACGTCTCAATGTTACAGCTAGTAATATGTCTCTTTATTGTGAAGTCTTCAGAGGTCACCTGGTCTCCGACGATCAGGCAATTCCTGGACCAGACTGCCAGGTGAATGCTGCGAGGACTCCAAGCAAGCAAAAGGGCACCAAGTATTGGAAGTTGCGGATACTAGACTTGACTAACAACTCAAGACTCATTACCGGCGCTCATGGATCTCCATACTATACTGTACACTAAGAGAGCCCTCTGGAGTAGCTTAGAAGAGTGATCCAGGGTCCTCGAGCCAGAAGGCGTCAATGAAAGGGATGTTGCTGTCGAAGAAGAGTCCCATTTCTTCGCCATTGGGGACCTGCAACGTAGGCACTGGTTCAGTGAGTTGGGCTTTCAATGTGCACAACCGGAAGACGTTGGTGCACCGCCCAGACTACGAGCGAAGAGAACGACGGGTACGAATGCAAATACAGCTGCAAATCTGACAAAAGAAATGCATTTCGGTGCAAAGGCTTTTTACAGTGGGCAGACGCCGGTATAACCTGCCTCTTTCTGTCCGTCCTCGACGTTTGGGATCAGATGATCATAAGAAGAGACTTCAATAAAATCACATGACAGACACTTCACTAACACAGGGGCCTGACGTAAAACATACCCCGTTTCAAATTCAAATTGAAGGCCATTCAAACCGCTTGAAAAGGAAGTCCCTACACGCTTCTCCAGAAACGAGACCTCTGCCGTGCAAACGCTACGACGCCATAACTAGATGTTTTTCGAGACTGGCCGTGTGGGTCGCCAACTTTTGCTAAAGCAACTTCGAAAACCTCTACAGTTCTTCAGGTGCAGAACGAAGCCACGAGAGCCTCGATTATGCTCCTTCCTGCGTTTTCATCGGCTGTTACGATGTTATCCCCCCCAGAATTGATTCGGGCGGGGTAAGTATGCCACAATGCAGGTGCCTAGTACGAATTCGTTCCAGTACCCAAGTCGAGATAAAAACAGCAATTGAATAAGACCGTGGAGCATTCCGGAAGCTGGCTAGACAAAAACCACTTTCTGTTTGGCCATCCCATTTCGTGAACCGGCCTCATGAGTTTGATCAGACTTTCACTGACTTTCACTGACTGACTGAAAGGTTGATGAAACTCTCAATGCCGAGACTCGCGTTGGCAGACTCGCCTCAAAGGCCGCCACGCGCCAGGATGTGAGCGAAGCACGCCTTCAGGCGCGCGCGCGTGGCGGTGTTGCAGGCGGCCGTCCCCGGCAGGCAGAAGTAGCCGTCCAGGTACGCCTTCATCGCGGCGCACAGCTCACGGCTGGAGGCTGCCTTTCGCAGGAAGAAGTCCACAGCGTCCGGCAGGCTCTTCTGCCCCAGCTGCTGGCAGCGATTCACTCCGAACGTCCGCTTCCACGACACCTGCGGGCAACATAGCGTGATGACGTCAGCACGAAAACGCCTCTCGTCTGCGGCACGTTGAGATGGGAAAGGAAATGACTTGGGATGGTCCGGTCGGGCTCTAATGAGTGGTAGACTTTTCCTACATAAATGGTCAAGGCGAACCGGGACAGGTGAAGCTAGAACCACACGGCGTTCGTTTACTTTGCGTTTGAACAAAAAGGTTTTGCGCATTCGGTTGCAGCAACTTCCCGGTGTTCACAAAGGTGGCAAAGATCATATCTGCTTCTCCGTCAGACAAGCTTTGGTGTGACGACTTCCTACCCAAGCTGCACTGAAGAGGCTACCTGCACTCATTGGGATGGACGTCCGGGCGTCAAGCATCGACCCTGCCTGACTCACGTTGAGAACAGGACCAGGCTTTCTCATCCGCACCGTGTCCAAGTCTTAGTTAGTCATGAGCTGAAGTCTTCAAACGGAGACAGTTTCGTTTGAACTTGTGTCCAACCTACTACAGAGAGGGAGCTTTATGGATGCTCAGAGCGTCGACCAATTATGAGATGCAATTGACCAGCTGACCTTGACCAGAAATCGCTCAACTCACAGGCTTTGAGAAGACATTCTCTCGTCTCAATCGGCGTTCAAAGCGTCTTCTGTCTACTTACAAGCCTGGATATCACAATCTTAGGCTCAATAAAGTCAGCCAGATTCAGGTCTCACCTTCTCGCCCGAGGAGGGGTCATCTCGAACGTACTGTTTGTATCCTCTGTATAAACCCCCGACCACAGTTTGAAGGGAGCTGTTGTCACTTATCTTCTCGGTGAAGATGTCCTTGGCCAACTTGAGGCCACCCGTAGCGGAGTCCTCGACAAATATCGGTCTGCAAGAACGATCCGCTGTTCTTCTGATCGCATCTACGGTTGTACAAGCTACAGAAGTGCCTGGTCAAGAAGGTTGAAAGGACCAAGTTGGTTCCCGCAAGCAGGCAGGACTGCAAGGGCACTCATTCCTTGGCTGAGTCAACAGGACTCAGATGTACATACATTCTACTTGTATTTCAGACATCCAGATAAGCGGAGATAAGAGAAAGATGAGAGTGGTTCACCTTATGTCGGCTTGATGTTTAGCTCGCTATCTCTAAAATATCTTTCAAGCCGCTACAGGTCAACACGACAATAGAATTGACTCAGCTAAGCTACGTTTCTGCACCAAAAGCATAGCGGCCGTTGGTCGATTGATTCTCAAAGCTGGTACCGTAACTCATCTTGAAGAGATGGATGGCAGATGGTATTACAATGTCATTCTCAGGATCCAACTTGGAACTCACCCATTGTGGCTGGCTTTGGCAATCTCGTCCATGACAGCGGGAAGGTAGTTTCCAAGCTGGTCAACCTCCATCTGAAGCGCAGGCGCCAGCAGATTGTTAAGTGTCGGAAGCAACTCCGTGCGAGCTGCACTAGCGCTTGCCATACTGTCGGCCGCAATGTTGACTTCTGATGTACGAGAACCGAAAGCGAAGTTGAGACCGATCAATGCACTAAAATGAACGAGCGGTGGCGCGCTGCTGGGCGTTCTCCCAGCTTGGCAGTGCCTGCTTCAATTCCACCAGACTCATGCTTCGACTAGCTAGCTAGCCAAAGATGTCGACGTTCACTGAAGGAGCTTTGAAAGCTGGGAAGGGGCCTGAAGCTATATGACTGCCAGCATTCTAGTTTAAAGGCTAAGATTTGCTAGGTGCGTCGGAGGATCGGAAGTTGTTCGACGCTGAATGTCGCTGTCCTGCCGCCTAAGAGTGGATTGGCTTCCACCTATAAATCAGAGCTCCACACTTGACAAAACCCAAGCTACACTGCTTTGAACCCTACAATATTGACTACGTTCTCATACTTACCGTCATTTTGCCCACCCTCCCGAGTCTTCTAGTCCGTAAACCGCGAACGAGCGGTGGGTACACATGCGGATCGTAGCCAATACGGCGAATCTCGTCTCCAAGGGCTTCGAAGCTTGTCCCGTCTGGTACGCAAAGCTGGAGAAACCAAAGTCACAAACGGGACTCGTGAGTGCGTCCCTAGGGCAAGTAGACTTGAACAGTGGCCTGTGTGAGAACCAGGTCAAGCGAATGAAGCTCAGCCTCCGTGTTTGGAGCGGAGCATGTCAAGTAATTCCAAGTTGGCTGTACACTTTAGAAACGTCAAGGCTTGAGTAGTAACTAAACGTCAACAACTGAGGCTGTGACAGCTGCAGCTACAAGGTTAGGCTTAAGATTGCTTAAAGAGTCAGCCCTTTCCATTCGACTTGGATGATTGAAGCCCCAGGGCTGATCTATTTATGAGGCCTTCGCACGCTTTCCTGACGGATCGCTTATGCTACATTGACAACTCACCCAGGAGATTGATGACGAAGTATCCGGATCTGCTGCAGTTGACTGTGCGGAATGCCGCCAGCTGACTGTTTTTGCGGGCACTATGCCAGATGCAGAATGCACTGCAGCCAGATGGTGAGACATGCGACATTAATTCAGGAATCAAAGAAAGCTTGCTTGGGCTCGCACACCTAAACAGGTCAATGGGTGATTGTATACAGGACTGACTTAGGGAACTTGATTGACTAGACATAAACATGAAAGGCTCAAATGCACAATGCTGAGCTGTAGCGTATCCAAGTTACTGGATTTCACTTGAACCTTACCTAAGGAGGCTTATGCTTAAAATGCACAACACTCTGCTCATGGCAAGGAGGATGCGGAATCTGAGATTGACTGGCAGAGGCTCTCTTCAGCTGATCTCCTTGAAAATGAGAGGAAGATAAATTTTGATTCCCTTCTTCTACCTTAGACTGCGCACATTGTGAATGCCCTTATTACTGCAAGGATAAACTCTACAAAGAACATTTGCAGCTTTTCGCAGAGCAAGAACGCTCCTCCTGCAACAAGCAAATTCCTCGATGTTTATCAACGCGTCTTGAGTGTATCTGAGCTTTGCAACTTACCAGGCTCCACAAGCTTTCCAAGACCCCAAATGCTGGACACTGAGGGCGATGGACCAGCAGATACCTGAATCTCCATTTTGTACACAGCGTCAACAAAACTTTCTCGAAGGTCCTTGAAGTCATCGCCCAGAGCCTTGAAGGACTGCGGATCATGGAGAGGGATGCCCTTGGGCCAATTCAAAAAGCTTCTCAAGCTACACTCGTCTGAGCAATGCTGATTATCACATCACAGCTTTTCTTGCTGCCCCTCTGATGCTCCTTAATATCCCAGCGGATTGCTTCCTCACTTCGCAATTCAACAGGCGGTGTTCCAGAACCATGGCCGCACGTTTCAGAAGACGCCAAAAGGCCAGTGTCTCCATCCGGTGCAGCTTCTCTGAAGGACTTTTCAGCTGGCTCAACCTCCACTTGACCTTTGATCCTTCTTGTATCCAATTATCATCCCAGTCATCATGGACTTTTGGATAGTTGGTGTAAGGATAGGAGACGCCCATGTTTCAGACGGCCGAGGAGCGCAATTCAGAACTCTCGGTCCTAATTTTGAGCAGCTTTAAAGCTCTCTACAGCTAGGCGAAGCTGCTGTCTTTAACTATGACTATTAGGTAGTATGCTTTCAGGTCGCGTGCTTTCACAAAGATGCTGGGCCCGAGTCAGGGGGATCCACCACGACCTCGAGCCTGAGGCATCAGACGCTCCGAGTCCGAGTCCTAGTCCACGTGGCTCGCTGTAGAGTTCTTGAATCATACAGGAGGCCTCGACGACCGTGCGATGGGCAAGGATTGCTTGTGCGCGGTACGATCGCAAGCCCCAAGTGCCTGCAATCCATCTGACGGACATCGTGCACGTGCAGTACATCGCACGGACATCCATCGCACGCTTTCATGTCATGCTCGACCATCCGATGCTGCTTAGTGCCATTTGGCAAAATGCAGGCCGTTCGACAACCAAGTGCGGTCAGTTTGAGCCTTGAGCGTGCTACTATAAGGCGCCCGGGAGACGAGTAGGGTTATTTCATTATTTTGATCGTTTAAAGAGTGTAGTGTGGGTTTGGGAATAAGGTATCGTTGGTTCAAGGGGTTTAGAAGAGCCTCCCGGGTGACACGAAGGTTGCACTGGTGGCAGTACCGTCAGGCGCGTGAAGGGCTGACTGGTAGCCAGACTGGACTCGGACCAGGGCGTTCAGCGTTGGGAACAATATTCCAGTCCTTCGAGGCGACTGGCGACTCTCAGCCCGCGGGACAGTCACACAGAGTTTCAGGCGCCTCTCACTGGCTTCAGCTCCTTTACTGGCACGTTGACTTGACATCTTAGGGACATCTTTGGCTGGCTAGTCGGATCAGCATCTGGTGGGCGCGGAGCAGCAGCAGGCCCGGCCGAGCTGTGAAGCTGGAAGAAAGGAGGAAGGGAGCCCACCAGGGCGCCACCGCTCCCTTCACTCGGTTGAACAGTTTCTGCTTCGCTTTCGATTCTCGCACTTCATAGGTCAACATTGTGGCAGACACTATGGCAAGCGCTAATGCCGCTCGCACGGAGTTGCTCACTCTGCCAGCGCTTGCGCTTCAGATGGAGGTTGACCAGCTTAGAAGTTACCTTCCTGCTGTCGTCGACGAGATTGCCAGGCAGAAAGGGTGAGTCTTGGTTGAGTTTCAGAATGGACCCTGAGTGGCTCGATAATACCGTCTGCCATCAACTCCCTTCAACTAGATGACTTTAAGTACCAGCTTTGAGAAATCAATCGACAATTGATGGCCACTCATGCCTTTTGTCCAGATACGTAGCTAGCTGAGGAATCCTATTTCGGGTCCATTTTCGGCGGCTTGAAAAGTGTCAAGATAGATAGCAAGATCTGCGTCAAGCCTATCCGAAAGTAGATGAATCACTCTCATATCTGGGGTTATCTAGACCTCTGGAAGAAGTCCTGTTGTGTCAGCCAAGGACTGAGTGCCCTGCAGTTGTGCCTTCTTGCGTAGGATACGATTTTCCAAACCCTTTTGACCAAACAGTTCTGTGGCTTACACCCGTAGGCGCGTTGATTGAGGAGCACTTATTTTCAATGCAGACCGATACGTGTCGAGGACTCCGCTACGGGCGGCCTCAAGTTGGCCAAGGACATCTTCACCGAGAAGATAAGCGACAATGACTCCCTTCAAACTGTGGTCGTGGGTTTGAAAGAAGGATACAACCAGTACGTTCGAGATGACCCTTCCTCGGGCGAGAAGGTGAGACCTGAATTTGGCTGACTATATCGAGCCTACCTTTTCAATGTTCCCGCTAGTAAATAGAGAGAAGACGCTTTGAGCGACGATCAGAGCAACAGCATGTCTTCTCGAAGTGCGTGGGTTAAGACATTCGTTGTCAAGAACAGCTGGTCAATTGCATCTCAGAATGGGTCCACGATCTGAGCATCCGTAAAGTCCCTTCTCTATGATAGGTTGGAGACAAGTTCGAAACTAAACTTTTTCCGTTTCAAGACTAAGCCCACTGGCAAATTGGGGATTTTGCTGCCAGCCGAATGCATAAGATCTGTTTGCTCAAACTCAAATCGACCGAACGCCGTCTACTTTGTGGGTCCTAGCGTCACTGGTCCTAGTTCGCTTTGACCAGCTGTACGGGAATACCTGCTGAAGTCTACTACTCATCAAAGACCGCCAATTCTCAATCATCTCCTACCCCATCTCATCAACTGCTGCCGCAGACGAGAGGCGCTTCCGCGCTGACGCCACCTCGCTTTAATTCTCGCCAGGTATCGTGGAAGCGGACGTTCGGAGTAAGCCGCTGCCAGGACCTGGGGCAGAAGAGACTGCCGGACGCTGTGGACTTCTTCCTGCGAAAGGCAGCCTCCAGCCGTGAGCTGTGCGCCGCGATGAAGGCGTACCTGGACGGCTACTTCTGCCTGCCGGGGACGGCCGCCTGCAACACCGCCACGCGCGCGCGCCTGGAGGCGTGCTTCGCGCACATCCTGGCGGCCTTCGAGGCGAGTCTGCCAACGCGAGTCTGGGCATTGAGAGTTGGAGCCGATTCATGAAACGGGATGCGTGTCAGAAAGTCCGCGGTCTGTGTACGTCTAGCCAGCTTTCAGAATGCTTCCGAATCTAATTGCATTGATGTTCCAATCCCCACCTGGGTGCTGGGACGAGTCCGTGCTAGGCGTTTATACGGTAGAATTTTGCGGGCATGATTACCCAATCGGAGTCCAGAACTTGTCTTCGTCATAGCCGATGAAATCGCAGGAATGACCGCAAAACGAGGCTCTCGAGGCTTGTTTCTGCACCTGAGGAACTCTTGAAGTCTCGAAGTTGCTTCGTCAAAGGTTGATGACCCACGGGGTCAGTCTCGAGATGCTTTGAAACAATCCAGTTACGGCGTCGTAGCAATTGCACGGCCGAGGTCTCGTTCGTGGAGGAGACTGTGGGGGCTTCGAGTCACAAGCGGTGAAAAGGCTCTACTTAAATTCGATACGGTTTATCTTTTACGTCAGGCTCCTTTTGTTAGTCAAATGTCGGCCAGGCAGTCGTACCGAAGTTTCTTCTTATGTCATCGTATCTTAGACTTCAGGAAAGGACACTTCGTTGTAGAAAGGCAGGTTATTCCAACGTCTGTTCACTGTAGAAAACCTTCGCGCGGAAATGCATTTTTCTTGTCAGATTGCAGTTGTGTTTGAAGTCGTATCCGCCATTCCTTGTGCTTGTGGTCCGATTGGTGCACCTACGTCTTTCATTTGTGCCCCGCTGAAAGCTGACTCACTATGTTAGGACTTACCTTGCAGGTCCCCAACGGCGAAGCAGAGGGACTCTTCTTCGACAGCGACATTCCTTTCATTGATGCCTTCTGGCTCGAGGACCCCGGATCACTCTTCTAGGCTATCTCAGAGGTCTCATAGTGAGCCTCGCATCTGGTGTACAGTATATTATGGAGAGGCATGAGCGCCTTTTATGAGTCTCAAGTTTTCAGTCGGCTCTAGTATCCACTACTCCGGAAACTTGCTGCCCTTGCGCTCGGTTGTTCCTCGCAGATTCTACCTTGCATTCTGGTCGAGACAATGTCGGGATCGTCGATTCAGGAGTGCCTGATATGCGAGCTTCAGAAAAAGCCACATTATCATACATCTGGGTCATTCCAAAAGAGTTGGACTTTCAAATAGTCATGTTAAGAGGTCAACTCCGAACAGAGGTGACGGGAAGTGATCATATGGAAGTGTCTAGCATTTGCGAAACGTGCATCTCGTCACATTGCAGACAGCGTCTACCATTGGAGGATGCAGTTGCACAAAGCACTGGTCACTGTCTGCTTCATGGCCCTTGATTGAGCGTGTAGAGGAGCCATGGCTATAATCAACGGCTTCTTGATGCAAACAAGCATTATCTTGCGAGCGAACGGAAGACTGAACACCAGACTGGATGTGCAATTTGATTTCGCCGTTTGATTTGACTCGGATAATGTCGATCGTATTATTACAACGGTTGACTGAGTGAAAGAGGAGGTGCAATATTTCACCTACCGCCTGATTACGCAGTTCAAGTTGCATATACGCGCACAGACGTCCATCCACGCTGCGTTGAAGCGACCGGCCTGCGGCCAATGTTGGGGCTCGGTTGCTTCCTCACGGCCTCAAATTAATGGAATGAAGAATCTTACCCACTTTAAACGAGAGATAGAAAACAAAGTCACACCTTCCCCGATTGTTCGACCCGAAAAAATGTAAACAGATTGAGCTCGGAATGGCTTTTGATGAGAGTCAGCGCTATTCAGAAAGGAAACAAATCTCTCCGTTACAGTGAGAAGCTCTTTTAAGACGCAATGATGCAGATTCATATGCGGATTCAATTGGGCTGAGCAAAGGCCCAAACGTTTTCGCAAAATATGCATTCAATAAGTACAACTTTTCCCGTCACCGCAAGCTTCCTGTGACACACCCAGAGTTGTCGATCGTGTCTCTAAAGGGTTCCTCATCTTCTCGTGAGGTGGAAAAGTTTTCGAGTGATACAGTTATCTCTTGATGGTTCTGACATTTCTGGACTTCTGGCCAATGAAACAGCAGACGTGTTGTTTTTGTGGTGTAGAATCCTGCTTCTTCAGCGTCAAGTCAGACGGCGGCCCTCCATTTCCCGCCTTCTAGTTATCCTCCCGCGTGTGCTGCGCGCGCTTCCTCTGCTTCTTGCGCTTCGGCTGCCCCGCCCCGCGCGCACTAGGCGCGACGGGGTGGCACGCGCACGTCGGGTCCAGGAACGCGCTCACCTCCTGCCCGAGCGCATCGAGATCCTCCCCGATCAGGACGTCCAGCAGAAAAACCATGCGGCTGTAGGCTCAGCTCCCGCACGACGAGCTTTTCGCGCGCGCGTAACAAGCCAAATGGAAGGGACTAAGTTGGAAGCGCCTCTCTCTGTTGTGCGGGTATAGTGAAGCGCCCGGGGCGTGCCGAGGGTGACACGCACGGGCTAGCACATTATCCAGAACGTCATCCTTCAGCAAGACTTTTACTTCAAGTATGAAGTGTTGCATCAACCGGTTCCATTATGAACTTGAATGTACACAATCAAAGCTAAAGCAAGCAAGGTACTTGAGAGCCATGTGGGTGTCACGTCAAAAGTAAAGAGTCTAGGAAAGTCCGTAGGTTTGTTTCACAGCACGGCGCACGAGGACGGATAGTGCAACTGCTCAAGATTAGTCTGTGAAATCCATGCAGACGGGCCGTACTTCGTCAGTGGCTAATTTAGACCACCTTTTCACACGGCAGCTTACGCGCATGTGGTAACCATGTCTTTGAATCAAGGGTTATCAGAGTATGCATTTTGACAATGGTCTTGGTGTAGCCTACGCCTGATGGACACTTCTCTTAACGCCCATGCGTATCAAAGGCATGGGGCGGAGTGCGGGTACATTTGGATCAATTCGACCATACGGTTGTCATGGTCGGATAGGGTGCCTGCATGGTCACTTCTTTCCGCACATAAAGCGGACTCTTGCATGCATCACTCTATGTGCATCATTGACAGCTAGTGGCTCATATAAATCCAACCACACGTTGGCCGGCACGCCGCATATTGAAATTGCGATTGGCATATGCCACAGCATGTACGCGTAATGTACGTCATCCGCCCTCTAAACAAACGAATCTCAGCGTGCTCAATTTGAAACATAGAAGCACGGCGGCATGCATGTTCCTCGCCACCTCCTGACGGAGGACGGATCAACTCTTTCAAGACTTCCATGCGGTTCGATCATGCAATCACCGAATAGACATGAAATGAAACGTGAATCGATTAATTCATTCTTGCTTGATGGATCGTGGGAGTACTACTGTTGCTGCGTTGGAACATGACAACATCGATTTAAGTGAAAATATAGAAAGTGAGTGACCACTTTGCATACGTCGAAACACATGCTTTATAATCATAAATACAGTCACTCAAGAGTCTCTGCGCTAAAACTAGCAAAAACTTGGCTAATAACTGCACAAATTGAATGACTCATAATCGAGAAAGTAAAGACGAACTTCATCTACACTGCATGCGTACCTTGCAATCTAAATGACACATCACCCAACCCGCAAGCTTTCGAACATTCTTTACATCTACCACCTTCATCACGCAGCCTTATCTTTATCACGCGTCTCAAGAATGCTAATCCTTGCAGTTATCAAAGGTCATAGCTCTAGTATCTGACCTGTCTGTTGGCGAAACCGGCGTCTTTATATAAGCCTCTGCGCATCCACTCGAGAGATTCTACGCAGGCTTCTTGACTTCACCGTTTTCGAAAAGTCCACCAAGCAACCAGGATCTGCACTGGTGATACTAACGACCAAGCGAGAGTCCGTATTGCAGTTTACTCGTACGCCCATGCTCTATCAAAAAGGCCACTCCCCACTCAAGCGCCTGGACTCTATCAGCACCTCCTCCACTCCCCGAAGCCAACCTGCTGGACAAAGATCCACAGCATTGACATAACCGTGCTCTACGAGAACGGTCTTTCTCCGTCGCACTCCATTCTTGCCAACCCCAACCCTTCGAAGTCCCAGTCCCTTCAACTCGGCACTGGAAGACGTGTGACGTCCCCTTCCATGGAGAAACTGCAGATGGTGCACCCCCAGCAAACCTCTCTCTTTCGAGGCCCTGAACTCTCTCCCTCCTCTCCGCTGCACTTTTACCATAAGTCCCAAGTGCCACCCAAATCCGGTCTCAACCTTGTCTGTTGCAAACCCGCCAGCGCCCGTTGTTTTGAGCCAAACCGAAACCCCCTTTTTATGCTGAACGAACGCCGATACCCTCCCCACCCTCTTGCCAATGTCGCAGGTCCAACTCCCCTCTCTGAACAGCTCCTGCGACTCCGCAAAACCGCACTTCGTCGCTACTGCATTTTCCTGCGACTGTCCCCACGCCCTCTGCCCTTTCAGCCTCGTTCCTCCGTCAGCCCCCGTGCTGCCCAAAGTTCTCAGCCCGTTACCGCCGCCCCCGGGTCCCCTGACTCCCCAACCCGTCACTGCTGCACAAGCGCCAGCACGCCCCTGACCGCAGGCGCACCGATCCCCCCCACAGGCCCGCTCCTCCCCAGCCTCGTCCCCAACGACCCCACCCCCGGTTATGCACCCGGGGCCCCCGACCCCCCCAACCCGTCACTGTTGCACGAGCGCCAGCACGCCCCTGAAGGTACGCGGACAGATCCCCCCAGCCTCGTTCCCAACGACCCCACCCCCGGTTATGAGATAACCCGGGGCCCACGATCCCTCAACCCGTCACTGCTGCACGAGAGCCAGCACGCCCCGCAGGCGCACCAGCACCTCCGCCATATCCGGCCGGTCCTGGCTCATATCCTGCACGCACTCCGCGGCGATTTCCGCGACGATCTCGATGTCGTGCATGTACCGCTCCACGTCGGGGATCGTCTCGTCCGCGATCGCGTCGACGCGCCCCTCCCGGATCAGCGGAACCGCCCACGTGGTTAGGTTAACCTTGCCGATGGCCTGCCGTTGGAGGCGCGCACGGTCGGGGTCTGAGGGGGACAGCTCGAGGACAGAGAAGATGGCCTTCTTGCCGGTGACGACGGAGAGGAGGAGCACGCCGAAGGAGTAGACGTCGGAGCGCTGGGTCAGCTCCTGGGTGGCGAAGTACTGGGGGTCTGCGGGGCGAAGAAAATAAGGTTAAGAAAACGGTTTGCAATTTGGTTTTGAGTTGAGTGACTTGCATATGGGATGAACAGACACGAGACCTTCGCCTGGTCTTTACGTTCCCTCCTTCCTCCGCTCTCCTCTTCCTCGTTGCGTCAACAGCTTGGCACACTCGCATATGCCGCAACTCTGATAATAACGATTATCGACTCAGCCTCCTGCTTTTCTAGATATTGCAAACAGTGGGAGCAAACAGCGGGATCGCTGAAGCAGGCAGAAGAAGTCAACCCGTCTCCTTCACCAAATTTCACGCCCTCATGGAAGGATACAAAGAAAACGGAAAGCGAGCAGCACGCACCCAAGTAGCCCGGCGTTCCCTTGATGGCTGTGGTGATGTGGGTCCGCTCCGCATCGTACAGCGTAGCCAAGCCGAAGTCGCCCAGGTACGCTGAGTCGGTTTCGTCCAACAAGATGTTGTTCGCCTTGATGTCGCCTGCAGTCAAGCATGAGTTTGAGAAGCACAGTTCAAAACAAGAGATGGTCGATTCGATCATGCACTCTGCAGAAGGTTGGTCGCTGAATGGTCGAATGCATGCCTGGAAGATTGCCTGAACAGGACTCGTGCGATGATTTCGGCGAGCTCAAGGAGAAGTCAGCGGCGAGAGCGACGAATCGAGGGCCTCCTCCTTTGATTGACACGTGGAGGACACCTCTGCCGGGACTCTGACGCCAAAATCACGAGCATTGATTGCAAATCAGCCTCTCCACCAAGAAGTCGCCTAAGCTTCTCAGCATGTCAAGACAGCTTGACTGCCTCCTTCAAGGAAACTTTTATAAACGTGCCATAGACTCACGATGCACGATGGGCGGCCGGCAGCCGTTGTGCAGATACTCGATGGCGCTGGCGACCTCCACTGCGACCTTCACGCGCGCGGGCCAGTCCAGGATGCCCCGGGCTCCGCCAGGCAGGTTGTCCTGCGAACAGTTGGGAGTTACTGATTGATGAGCACCAGCACGTGCTTCCGTTGCTCCTCTCAAATGGATCTCATGCAACTCACCTCTTGATAAATGAGACTTGTCTGAGGCTCCTTCGTTCTTTAGTAAGTTCGCCTACTGTTGAAATGAGTGGACAAAGAACAAGATTTGTACCGGCCGATAGTCGCGACTGGCTCTTATATATATGGACCCGCAGACTTAAGCTAAGCACCACTCCGTTACGAACGTATGTCGCCCTTCTGAAGCAGAGTCGTGCCGGCAACTAGACAAGAAAAAGTTCTGCCAGTCAGCTTGTTCCATGAGAGAAAGGTATTGACAAAGCAGAAAAATGGAGCCGCTGATAACAAAGAAGACCAATATAACTGGAACAAAGACTGGACAAAGCAGAAAATGCAGCCGCTGAACACAAAAAAGACCAATATAACGTGGAACAAAACGTTGGCTCCTTGTTAAGATGGCAACGTGCCATTTAACCAAGAAAGCGTCATCAATGTGGCATTCAACCGCAAGACTCTTTGGATGGAAGCTCAGAGACTTTCAGATTGCAAGTCATGGCAGTGCTTGCACTGCTCAGACAATACGTGCAACTGTTTGCTCATCACCGCATCCAGCAAGCATTGTGGAGTCAAGCAGACGGAAGAAGTGGACCCTATCTGTAAGCTCAAGGGCAGTAGGTTCACAAACCTCAAGGAAGCAGACGAACCTCAACAAGGCCAAAAACCGAGCAAATGTTTTGGTTCCATAGACGGCCGACTTCGCAAGTTATCACCCAGCATATATATATAAGTTATAGCAGCAGCAGTCCGGCCTTAGTATAGCACTCGTCTGAAACCAGTGATAATTCAGAAGGTTTTGTAAGCCAGCCAATATCTGTTGAAGATGCAGAAAACTCATGCGCGTGACGTCTCGGAAAATTCAGAAGAGCAGGCCTGATAATGTCACCAAGAGCCAAGCGAACCAATGAAGCAGACAAAGTATGTGACTGGATTTTGAACCTTACACCACACCAGATCCAGAGCACCCACTTGCAGAGTCAATTGGGCAAGGCGACGCACACGCGCACAAGCCTGAAGAGCTGCCACTGTTGCAAAATCCTTCGGCTGAAGTCCGTCTTCCAGACCCTCGAAAAATCTCAAAGAAGTACAAAAATCCACACCCAAAGTTAACGGCGACAATTCTCACCGTTGGGCATGAAGTCGTAGACGAGCATACGCTCGCGCGACACGAAATTGCAAAGGCCGACGCAGAACCTCCGAAGTCACAAAGCCGTGCAATCTGAGTGAGAGCGAGCACAATCCACAAAACCTGGGTTAAGATGAGGCGTTACCTGCAGCGTGCCGTTGGGCATGAAGTCGTACACGAGCATGAGCTCGCGCGATGCAACCTCGCAGAAGCCGAGGAATGGGACCAGGTGGCGGTGCCGCAGCTGCGACAGCGTCTCGAGCTCCCGCTGGAACTCCGCCTGCCGCGACGCCAGCACGCTCGGCGCGATCTCCGCGCGCTTCACCGCAGCGATGCGCCCGTCGGCGAACTGCGCCTTGTACACCTGCGGAAAAGGAGCGGGAATGCTGTAAATTTGCGGTGCTTGGCTTTTGTAGGGGTGAACCAGTCTGATGAGTATTGAGACCCAAGTAAAAAGGGGTCCGAAAGAACAGTAAAAGACCCGGGATCGCATGCGTAAGTCTGGGCATCTGCAAAGATCGGCGACGCGTTTCGCATCAAAATGGCATCCGTTCAGCTGACAACACAGGGAGGATGAAGATCTTCAGGGTTTCTCAAATTGGTACTTTCTAGGAGTTGGAACCTTCGGCAAAGCCGTACGAACGGGGGGGAAAGCAACGAGACTTGCGGCATCTCATTACGTGTAAACGTTTCCAAAGTTACTTGGTTCGGTGTAGCAACACGCAGCTCCCCCGCCTGTGGCATCCAGCCGTCGGAACGAGGGTGCAGAGAAGGTGGTCTCGGAGGGAGGATTGCGGCAAGAGTCTTGGTTACGCCTCACAAAGAGTTGAGTCGACGAAAAATGCACATCCTAACGAGCGTCAAGCGCTCCCCCGTAGTTCCTTTGGACACGCTAACTTTCGTTCCGGACGAAGGTAGCTGCACCTACTTCGTACAGAAATGGCCGACTCACCGTCCCGAACAGCCCCGACCCAAGCACGTTCTCCGGGTTGTAGTTCCCCGTCGCCACCCGGATCTCCTCCGACGTGAACTCCCGCCACGGCGGCAGCACCTCCGTGCTCTCCCGCAGACTCAGCAGCCGCGTCGTGCGGCTCACCGTGTCCCTTCCCCCCCGGTACCCACTGTCAGTCGTCGACCGCTCGAGTCGCTCCCGTGCCCCATGATCGCTGCTGGTTGACTTTCGTGGGCTTGTGCGGAGGGGGGGTGTGGAGCTACGCGGGCTGGAGTCTGCGGCGGGGGGGGACGGGGAGGAGCGCCAGGGCGAGCTGAGGATGGCGGCCGCGCCGCCGGGGCTCGGGGGTGGTGGCGGGGACGAGGACATTGCGCCGTTGTAGTTGGACAACTGCGGGGAGGGGATGCAGGATTGATTGATTTGGACTATCCATTTTTGAGCAGAGAATTGGTAATTTCGAATTCCATGCGGAGAGGGATGCCCGCGAGGTGATTCGCACTGCAGCAGCCAGCTTGGACAGACTGATTTTCATTGGGACACAATCTTTTCAGGAGGAGTTCACGCTTGCCAACCACCAGAAAGTCAACCAGATTGCACGCGGGTTAAACAAAACGGTGCGTTCTTAAACGGAGAAAGAACGGGCAGGATGTAGAAACCTTGCGGAAAACGCAACGGAGTACAGACCCGTAGTGGAAATCGTCCGCCTGGCCACAAGAGAAGACGTCATATAGAGACACGGGCAAAGTGTGGCTCATTCGCCACCTCTTCTCGAAAGCTTTTGCAGCGCAAAGATTCTGATAAAAACACACACAAGGTGGAACAATTTACCATGGGGAAGCTGGTGACGGACACGGAGATGGACTTGCTGGGGAGCCGTTCAAAGGACGGGTCCGCAGAAGTGGGGCCGCCCGCAGGCGCAACGAGCATGGAGTGCGACTGGCTGTGGGACTTCCGACGCCGCTTGCTATAAACAATAGCCGCCCAGATGATACCTGGAAGATGATTTAACACAAGGGAGTGAGCAGCATGCAAAATTGTCTTCAGAAACGAGCGCAAATGTGATTGACGAGACTGAAGATCGCACTAGAGTCTTCGCAAATGTCAAAAGTAATACCAACGGGACGGTGCTCGCGAAGTGAGGAGGACAACGGTGACTTGAATCGCGAGGTAGTGAAGGCAAGGAACCGCAGCACTTGGGGCATGAAGCAGAAAGAGGTGCGTTCGTCTTTCGATCAAGACTTTGCCACGCACATAGCCCTGGAATAATTCTTTAAGTGTCCAGTGACTTTTACAAGCCTGTAATGTCAGTAAACACGCGGAAAAGGAGCTGAAGCCACTGTCCGAACACGCATTTCAGCTTACTGTCTTGAAGTACTGTGAAGGACATCAATGCTCACCCGCAATTAGCAACACCCCAGCAATCGCACCGACAATCCCCCCAATGATTGCACCAGTAGCGCTTCCAGACGAACTCGAAGGAGCCGCAGAGTTGGGCACCGTCGAGCCCGCAGTTGATGCTGTAAGAGGAGGTTCAACAGCAAAGGTAAGCCTCAAGCGGACTGGGGCGCATCGTCGCACCATCGACGGGATGTGCTTGGCACGCTTTCAGGCGAAAACATGTGTAAGAGGTGCTCGTTCCGAATGTCAACTCGAACTGTGAAGTGCACTTGCTACACATTTGTGGTGAAGACGCCAGATTCAGTAGCACAAGGAGACAGAAGGTCAAAAGGACGTCGTGAGGCAAGACGACGAAGGGAACGGCAGTCCAACAGACCTGTTGGCGGCAGATGTACACCTCAGCTTCGCTGGCAGTGTGACGATGTGAAGAGATGCTCATGGCTTCGCTTGCAAATCCGAACCCAAGGAACAGAGATACAGCAGACCCTAAGCGGACCAAAAAAGGTTTCTCTGACCACTCACGGTCTAGCTGTGCTGGCGGCGTGACTGACGTCACCAAGACGTTCCCAAAGTCGCTTTGGTTCAGCTGCAGGCTCCGGCCGTTGCGCCCCTCCAAAACGTCCTCGATCCCGGCCGCGGTCCAGATCTGGAACTTATCGCCCACCAAGGGAACCACCGACGTGTCCACCAGAATGCTTCCCTGGACGGCGCGCCCCAGGATGATCTGGAACGGCTGCACTCCGAGCTGGCTCGCCAGGGCGTTCAGGAAGGCCTGCGAGGGAAAGAGGAACGGGTGTGATTGAGAAAATGAAGATGGGTCAATTGTGCATAAGGAGGCTGAGCTTCAGTCGAGTAAGATGGCACTTGAAGCGTTTTCCGCTTTCATACTGAAGAAAAGGAGTATGGTACCCGTTGTCTCTTCACCATCGCCTCCAAGTGTTATGCAGCAGCAGCAGCCTTGGGGAAATCCAAGACAGTGTTCGCTGATGGTGATGATGACTTCGAAATCAACCAGGTTACCTGCTTGAGAGCGGGAAGGACAAATGTGTACAGCAGGCCCTGCTTCAGTACCGAGGCTTTTGCTCATGCTCATACCAGTCTCGGGTCATGTGCGCCCATGACAACTTGATATACATCGATTCGTGTGGTATCAGACAGCTCGACTGAGACCCTCGCCAACCCGTCAATCCGTTCCCAGTAAAAGCAAAGCGAAGCTGTCAATAATTAATGAGAATACTAAACATACTCGAAACACAACGAGCACTTACCGTCTGGAAGCTCGGCGTCCAGTCGACCAGATTCCTGTCCACAAATCTGTAGCTGGCTCCCAATCCGTACACGCAGTTACACCGTCCGGTCACTGACCCCAACCCCGCCGTCTGATTCACCGGGCACGTGCATGCGCTGCTCCCAGGAGTTCCTGTCGTCTGGTTGATCGGAATGACGGTCTGGTTCAAAGAAGGAACCACTACGGTGGAGTTCTGTCCAGGGGGAGCCGAAACTATCACAGTGGTGTTTAGCCCAGGGGGGGCAGGAATGACTACGGTGCTATTTGACCCAGGAGGACCAGGGACGACTATGGTGGTGTTCTGTCCAGGAAGGGTCTGATTTGCCACAGCTGGCGAAGGGGCGCTCGCATTGAGCGCAGGGGTACTCCCGTTTTGGCCAGCGACCGGGGTAGGGGCTATGATGGTGACGTTTTGTCCAGGGACTGGTGACGGGGCTATGACGGTGACATTCTGAGGGGTGGGTGCAATGATGGTCGTGTTCTGTCCGGGCACCGGTGCGGGGGCCACAATTGAACCGTTTAGGCCAGGAGTAGGGGCGGTGGTGTTGACTGGGATGGTGGTGTTTTTGGCTGGGATGGGAGTCGGGGCCGGCGTTGACGAGGTTACGGGGCAGACAGAGCCCGTGGGGCACACCAAGGAGGGGTTGCCCGAAAAGATACTGCACAGCCAGAGAGGAGGCAGTAAGTAGACCAAGGCGTTTCATATCGTTGTTGCCTAAGGGCTTGAACGCTCTGGCTTAGGTCAAGACCGATGACAACGACTATCATTGGAAAAACTTCGTAAGTGTTGAGAATTTAAGCCCAGAATTTGGTCCTCCATAGTAGAGAACAACCTGAACGTGCAGTCAACACCATGATGAGAAAAATACTCGAAAGCTGTCAAGCACTCACGCCATGTCATGCACTCATGGGAAGACATGCGGAAATCATCAAAGTACAAAAGTCCACTTGCGATCTTGCAACGGACATCTCTGCTGTAAGGGGAGTGCCCCAAGGAGGATGACAGAGGAGAGCCTTACCAGGTCGGCCCTGAGCCTGCCGGCCACCCCCACGGCGCAAACCCATCGCAAACAATCGCGTTGCTCAGCAGCCCCGCCGGCACCGTCCCCACCAGCTTCGTGAAGCGCAGATCCAGCGCCGTCAGCGTCGGGAGCAGCTTCACCAGCTCACTAGGGATCGTCCCGTTGACCTGAGTGTTATCTAAGTACAGACTCCTCAGGCTGGAAAGCCCCCCCAGGGTCGCTGGGATCGGCCCGCTGAAGCTGTTCCTATCGAGGTACAGCTTCACGAGCGTCTTCAGCCCCCCTATGCTTGGGGGAATGCTGCCTGAGAGCTGATTGATGTTGACATAAAACTCCATAATGCTGCTGAGCCCAGTGAGGGGGGGAATCGAGCCAGTGAGGTTGTTAGTGCCGAGGTAGAGCAGGCGGAGTTGCTGGAAGGAGCCCATCCAGGAAGGGATGCTTCCGGTAAGCGCCGTCGAGCTCATGTCCAGGGATTGCAGCCCCGTCAGCGCTTGAAGGGAGGCGGGAAGAGTGCCGCCGAGCGGGTTGTTTGACAGGAATCTGTGTGGGGAGGAGAAGGGTGATGGACAACTGTTACTTAGAACGACTCAGGACCAGAAAGAATGTTGAGCTTCTCAATGACACTCTCGCTCAGGTCGAGAAAGATGACGACCTGGCTTTGTGAAGGTCCTTTCTAGCATAGTTTGTGAACGTCCTTTCTAGCATAGGGAGGCAGCGACGCCGCTTAAGAAACTTGGGGGTCTCTGAACTTGGATCCTCTATTTTCAGCTCTTAACAAGAGGACCATAACAGCTCCCTTCTATGCAACACAGGCATGCAATGGGACCGAAGTGGCGCTTCAGAACTTACATCTCTGTAATGGAAGTCAAGCGTGAAAACACATCTGGAAGTCCCCCAACAATTTGGTTGTTCTGTAAGTGTCTGCAGGGGATCAAACAGTAGCAGGGGATCAAACAGTAGCAGGGGATCAAACAGTAGGCTAAGTCAACTCCAGAAGACACCTTGTCAAACCTCAATAGTCCTGCATCGCAACAGCATCCCAACCTTTTGGTTCAAAGACTACTTCATCCTTTCCGTCCAGTTCATCATTTTGCTTAATAATCATCTACCGAACAAAATAGCTTCCTCGGCTTTAACTGCAAAAAAGTACAACATATGTTGAAGAGCCTCAATTTGGCTAGTAGAGGTGGTCCAAGGAGTACAAATTGTACCACACAGTCGGAAAAGAATAATCGTTTTCCCGGAAACAGCTTGTGACGTCTTTAGCCAGCGAGAGCAACTGTTCTGAACTTACATGCCCAGCAATGATGTCATCTGACCCAACGAGTCCGGAATTGGGCCTCCGCTCAGTTGATTGTTGTTAAGATATCTGCAGCCATGAACCACTCGTTATGAGAGAGCACACATTAGAAGGATCTCTTCTTACTCCAGTGAAGCCTGCCCATTACAACAGGAGACTTTTCTAGCTTCAATACCCTTTGTTCCAGGTTGCTTCTTGCCCCAACCGCAGGGCCCAATGTGAAATCATGGCTGAGAATCCGAGATCACTCACAAATACTGAAGACCTGGAAGGTTTGACACGGTGTCCATAACATCCACTATGCTCCCTGAGAGACCCTGGTTCGAAAGATCTCTGCAAGACAAAGTATGGAGGGTGGTCAGTATGCATCATGAAAGTCCCGGCGCAGCTATCAAAGCAGAAATTGGCACTTGCGTACATGATCACTTGTGACAAGACAGAGTGGTCAACGCATGCAGTACTTTGGAATCAGCTGACAGCATCCCTGGAATTGCTTAAAATCGTACCAACAAGAGAGACTCCAAACAGTTCAATACGGGCCCACATTGAGGGTGAAATTTGACAAGTTGCTCACAGTTTGTACACGGTGGTGTCTGCACAGAACACGCCTTGCCAGGTGCAGAAAAAACTTGCGCTTGTCCATGTGGACAGAGCATTGCCCGTGCTCCCTTGAAAGACCCCTTTTAGTGCCGTCAGAGTGGCCCCTACAAGAACATACGTTCAAGATCAACACATGCCCTCTCGCCGTTGGCAGACAAAATGGTTGCCTATGGAAATGATAAGGAGTGACTCCTAAGATGCCAACCCCATGCAAAGCAAGTGCGATTTATGTGTCACCGGATCAAAGTGCTTAAGAGAGAGAGAGAGAGAGATTCAAAACACACCCTTACAAATGCTGCAGAGAACGCTGGAACCTTACGGAAAAATCAAGGTGGAAAGCAGGCGACAGTGTGCATGAAGGACGAGTGCGCCCGTGCGGCATCAACTGCGAAAAGCACCTAAAACTCTGCAATGCGGGGTATAGACAAGGATATGCTGGGGTTGGGTCAATGTGGTTGATGCATGCAGCCTTGAGATAAGTCTAAGGTCCTCACCGTCGTCTCCAACAGTACCGCCAGGCACTGGGAGACAGAGCGCCAAGAAAAGGCACAATAGCGGCCACCTACTCGGGGACCCCATTGGGATTCCCGCTTCGAATTGTAACTTTTAGCAACCTGCAATTTAAAACCCAAGCTTCACGACCGCAAAATCGGGCTCAAGGATCAGACATGCAGAATCCTGGACGGACCGATGGTATGGCTACTGGACACAAGAACGAAAACAGACATTCAATTATTGGAAGTCCGTGCATGCAACATCTTATGAGCTTGTCAGCATATGAACCATGAGCATTTCTAAACAAGCTGATTGTGTCTAGAATACACGCATTTTGTTAGTACGAGCCAGAGAGCAGCCGGATCCTTACCTTAAAAACTTTTCATTCTCGACTTTCGCAACTTCGTATGTGCTCAACTAGCGGAGCACCCTATATCCTTTCCTTTAAGACTGTCCTCAGCTGACCTGCTCGATACAAATCTGTGTTGGATGTCCCTTGTGCAAAACCGGCCTAGACCCTGCCTCAGCAATGCTTCAAGAGAGTCGCCTTTCTGATCACTCTTGTAACCTGCGGTTTCACCAAAGAAAGCTGTGCGGATTGAACAGGACCTCACTTGATGTGAGAACCACCATCTACAGGTGCACAGTAGGGCCTCTACCTAGACTAACGGGCATTCCTAAGAAGACATGCAAGTGTGAGCTGTTCTACCTTGGCTCAGAAACCCAAGACCTCAACTCCACGGACTCTGTTCTCTTGTTTGACTGAGAGTGCCTAAGTATGTGCTTAGAAAAACACGTTGATTCTTGTTTATGCCCCGTGTAGCGCCTGCGCCAAAACTCTTCTCTAAACCTGCAAACTTTGCAGGTGGTTCACAGATAAAGGGGCCGCAGTAAGTAATGCTGTCAACCTTTATGCCAACGGCGTTCAGTACGATCCAAACGTGCTTTGTACAAACAGCTGCGCGCTCCGGGCTGCTTCTTGCTTCTTATATTGCTCCCCTGTCAAAGCATATCTAAGGTTAGGTACCGTAGTTGGATCGAATCCTGTTCTCCGCCACAGAAAGCGCCTTCAAGTTTGCCCCATGGGCCCCACGCTGATCGCCTCTGATTTGCCCCATGCAGACGGCCCTGAACTTTGAAGATGGAACCAGATGGAACAAGGTCCAATTCTATGAATGATAAATTCCATACTTCTCGATATAAAATTGCATATATTAAGGTGAGTTCTACCGGGCAGATTTAAACAGAACACCCTAACCTAGATAATTACGCTCTCCGCATAGCTAAACCCATTTCAATCCCCGAGGTAACCTCATCCATCCACCGGGCGTGAGCTAATGAATTTTCGCGCAAATTTGAATGAATTTATCCTTTAGAAACGACACATTCCAGATCTGCGCCTCCGGCCAATCACGAGGCAGAGTCACCTTCAATCATGACAACCAATTATTGTCCAGTTGAGTCTTGACCAAGGGTACACGTGTACGCCGCGGCCGCCCCGCCTGAGACGGTAACGGTGAGCGCGGCAAATCATCATTTTACCAACTATGAAAGTGGTAATGGTACTCCCATGCGTTCGTCGACATGTCTGCTCTAGTTGAACCACAGCCTCAGGCAGCGCTGGAACCAGAATTTTGCACAAGTTCCTAGCTGCAGCGAAGCCTGTTGGCTGCACCCAATTGCTGGTGCGGGCAGCTGCCAGAAATTCATACGCCTGCATTCAGCTTGTCAGGATCACATCAGGAGGAATTGGCACCATTTCATGCAAGGCCTCAATGTGAACAATCTGAGGTAGCTCGGTACTTTTCACCGGAGCGGCAGGAGTTGGTGGTTTTCTTAATGTGTGCTTTGCGGTAGGGACTTGAAGGGAGAAGATTTGTATCTGACTTGTATAGGAAAAGTCAATCAAGCAAAGGGAAAGTACGGGGATTCACGGTGCGCTGGTTCGACTTTCCTACCCCAGATTACAGGTATGCCGAGAACACATGCTTTTGTTATTCATCATTGCGGAGTAATTCGGATGTTCTAAGTAACTATGATACGCCACAGAGAAAGGTGTTGTACCTTTTGTATGTCAGACTAGCATCGAAGTATGAATTGCAGCAGGTGGCATTCGTATGGATAAGAAGAGGGGTATCTGAATTGCCACTTTGAGGATTGATGCCAGATCCTGCTCACCGCTCTTCCATCAGCATGAGTTGCTTTTTTAAAAAATGGTGGGGGCGGGGCGGGGCACATTAACTCTGCTCCAGCGCAGATAGTTTTTAATTCAGATTGTGTGTGCCAGAGCCAGAAGCATGACAGAATGCTGCTCTCTTTGACAGGCGCCAACAAACTAAAGGATTGGATACTTTTATTGAACTTTGCAGCATTCTTCTGCTGTTTCTCTACGGTGCTTTTTGAGCGGCATTTATCAAGCAAGAGTCTTCGATGCTTTTCGAAGGAGGACCATTGCTTGGATTGGCTCTACTGACATCCATCCTGAGGGTGTTTTATAAATGCAGGAGGTCAAATCACAATGGCTGGCGACGCGGAAGTGCCGGTTGCCACCTCTGCAGTGCTCATGTCAGCAGCGAAGCACATAGGCAAAAATTGTGCCCGCGAGAACCACGCATTTCTTGATTGCAAGCGGGCGGACGAGACCCCGGAGAGTTGCTTGGACAAGGGGGAGCAGGTGTCTCGATGCGTCGTGTCCTTGTGAGTTATGTCACGGTTTGGTCTACAGACGATCATCGGCTGCTTGTTCCAATTTCAGCAAACCTGACCAGATCTGCAGCGGTTTTTGATCGGCACCGATCATGACTGCAAGATCATGGATATCGAAGCACGTCTCAAAAAGCTTGCCGCTGTCGTCGACGCTCCCAAGGATCTCGCAAATGAATTCTGGGCCCCCTGGGATTGTGTTCAAGAGCAAATTCGTTCACTCTCTGTTAAAAGGTTGACAACTGCCAAAAGGACTCCTATCAATGTTGCAACCAAACGCAAAGGTGGCTAATTGCGGTAGCTGATATGTCGATTTTCAAAGTTGGACTTCTGCTGATGCAGGTTGAAGGAGTTGAATGGCAAGTGCCCAAAAGCCTTCAATGCCTACGTCAAATGTATGGACTACCGGACAAATGAGTTTGACCTCTGCAGAAAAGAGCAAGCAGAGTTTGAAAAGCAGTGTCCATTATAGCGCGCCTGGGGCTTCGTAGGAAACATAGCGTTTCTTTGATACGCAACTCCTTCCCACTAGAGATGCTCTTGCACGGATATGGCCAGCAACATGCAATTATGAGGAGTCGGTGTTGAGCCGAACGTTCTTGGTTACCAGATTTACGATCATTCTGAAGGACAATCGAGAAGCTGAAGGGTGTCTTCTCGTTGCATTGAGTGTCCAAGCCGGCCGGGCCCAAGCGGAATCTGAATCGATCGGGGTCCTGCAGTAGTCCTGTTAGTAATCGCACCTTTATGCAAGCAAGTCGTTGTAGTATCGTTCAATGCATGACGGTCTGCTGCATGGCACATCACTTCCGGCCAATTCACAACATGCATTGCATGTGCATGGCCAGTCTCTCTGCACTTAAATCCTGATTGTTTGGCTTTGATCACGAAATGTATGCGGCTGACTCTTCTACAATCGATCCTGGCCATGGCCGGGCCTGCTTGCATACTAATGTGTTGAACCACGCTGCTAGGGCTGTACCGTCCTATGCACTAGATTTGCAACGCAGAAGTTCATGCAGGGGCCGGCGCGGCAGCTACCACTTATAGTGACAGCTCTACGACGACGCAACATGCCTTATAAAAGTCACGGAGGCTTATAGTGTAAAGAGGGCATGCATCGAAATAGTGAGATCATAGAATCCCATGATTGGATGTTGCAAATCAGCATTGGTCGCGGACACCGTAGACAATCTAAAACTCAGATTATGGGAGCATACAGTAGTTTTGTTGCCGCGGAATGGTTAGTTCCTTAGTCAACTCCCTGCAAACTGACTAGAATGAACGAACTCTACTTGCAAACACTCGTCCACAGGGAGGGTGTCACCCCAGGAGCTTCGGAGGCTGGCCTAACACAGATGCAATCTTATGATGCACCTCCCAGCTCACAGATCGTCCAAGAGTAAAGCATAAACCACCCTTGGACGAATAACACTATCCGCATGGCCAAACTCCATCCTAATTTTACTCTACTCTGCATACACAACCAGCCCCCGAGCCTTGAACGCCGGTAGCACGTTCAACGCCCCAAAGTCTGCAATCCGCTTCTTCACCGCGCGCAACTCCACCTGCGCCTCCTCGCCCACGCCCGTAATGGCGTTACTCAGCCCCTTCACTTCGACGCGCTTCAGCGCAGGGCACGCCCGCAGTAGCAATTTGACTTCGTCCGTCGACAGCGGCGTCCGGTTGAATGTTATCCTTTCCAGCGTGTCGTGCAACATGAACCCCGGCTGCCGTGGCTCGAGCGCGTCCCCGATCAAACCCAGCTTCCCGTCACAAACCTCCAAACTTTGCAGTTTGGTGCATCCCCGGAGTTGGATAAGCCCCCGCATCGTGAACATGACCCCATGGATCGCAAGTGTCGTGAGGTCCTTCCACGCGCGCCCGATTAAGTTGAGCGTGTTATCGGTCGTCGAGCGGCCGCAGAAGTCGATGAAGGTCCGCATGGAGGGGCAGCCAACGGTGAGGCACCAAATGGGGCCGTACTCAAGGCCCATGCTGTAGGCGGAGCGCGCGCTCGACGTCAGCTCCACACAGTCGAGCTCGCGGCAGTCGCGGCTGACCATCCACAGAACCTGGAGGCAAAGCGAAAGGTGGTCAATTCCAAACCGTCAGAAGTGTGGGGCAGACCCAGGGTAACAAGTCCAACCTCTAGCCAATATTTTAGCAGCTCGGCAGGACTGGCTGCCCAACAACACAGAAGGTCCAGATGTGGACCAAGAAGCACAGAACTGTTTTCTCCCCCATGACCTATTTCATGGTGTAGGACCGGCGTCAAGTAAGACCACTCACTAACTTCGAAGGCACTACCTGTAAAGACCTCAAACGCTGGAATCCTTTATGTCTGATGTGTACCAGGGCTGGGCAGACGGCAAGGATGCAATTTTCGGAAAGAGAGCAGAAAGTTCTGACAAGGCGGTGCTTTGCTGTGTGCAAACATTTGGCTGTTCCCAGGACAGTCCCACATAAAGCCAGGAACCTTAGGAACTTAGGATGCCTCCGGTTGAGGGGATCTTTTGCAAAGTCTGCTTGTACTGGCCAACCTTTCTCTATGTATGCAAACCGAAGCACACAATGACTTCCAGAAACAATTAGGTACTACAATTGCTCTAGTAAAGCTCGAGGTACTGACTTACGGAGACTAACAGGCCACTTGAATATGAACTTCTGGTAAGGTGCGTCATCAAGTGTTGGGATAGGCATAAAAACACTCCATCAACAGCCTCGATCCCACTCTTTGTAGAAGCACCGAGCTTTGTCAACATAACTGGCATGAGAAGCATTCAAATGCGTCGACACTGAGCAGAGAGTTCAGGCTTCCTGACATGACTAATACATGGATACAAACACTGAGCAGAAAGTCCAGGCTTCTGACAAGACTACTATGCACCCATAGCCCAGATGGGAGCTTTGGCGTGTGTAACAAATAACTGTGGGGCAAAAAGCAAGGCCTTTCTGCTGATGATAAGATTTAAGGAAGTTTTGAGAATGAGAGAGCAACTTCATCATTGCAACTGTTTGCTGAGCAGTCAATAGAGCCAGCTTGTCGGAAACAAGGACAACGTGCCTTCCATACAAGGAAGCACTCTAGGGCATGACGACATTATACTTTGTGCCCAAGTCCCTGATACGTTCCTGCCGTATGCCAATTGCACCTCATAACAGCAAAGCAGTTCGCTTCTTGTCAGAATGGTGGTCATGTTTTCCAACAAGGAATCGAGTTTTGGAGCTGCGCATGCTGCCTCTTTCCATGCCACTAGCACAGCTGAAGGCGTGAACAGTCAGGGCATTCTTTGCAGAAGAACCACATGCCGAGACACCAGACAACTGATGAGCACCTCCAAAACGACCTGAACATTGGAAGGAAGAACAAAGGACGGTCCTCACCAGAAATGCAAAACCAGAGCCGCTGTTGCTCTCCCACGATATCTTGAGCTTCTTCAGGCTCTGCCCGCACGCGCGGAACACCGATCGCAAACCATGAATCTTCTGCACCTTCTCAATTCGCAGCTCCGTGAGCGAGGAGCACCGCTTGGCGATCTTGTGCAGGGTGCAATTGTTGACCTCCCGTCCTAACGTCACCCGCTCCCACAGATTCGCCCCGTAGCAGACCCGCTTAAACTTCCGGCAGACGGTCGAGTAGGTGCAAAGCTCGCGTACAGACAAATCGGCCATGCTGAAAATCTTGATCAGCAAGTCCTCGCTGAGGTCGTCAAGGCACGCCCCCTGCTGAGGGCTGCCCGCCCGGCCCCCCGCAAACAGCTTCCCCTCCCTGAAAAAGTTGCCCATAGACCCTGAGTCTGTGGGCTTAGAGGGGCCTGGGCAATCCTCCGGCTCTTCTAAGACACCCGGTTCTTGGGGGCCTTCGTCAGGACCGCACTTTTCTACACCAGCTGCATTTTCTGACTTGAGTGGGGCGAGGGGCTCCTTCGGGAGCACCTCTTTTGGTTCAGGGATGCAGTCCCCTTCTTCCTCCCCCAAATCGCCGCTGTCTGCCTCATCAAATCCGAGCTCCTTTTCCAGAAGCTCTTTCGGGAAGGCATCCTCGCTGTCGGACGACTCGTTCTCAAACTCCTGGGGCGGGCCGAGGTCCTGGGGAAACGCCGCCTCCTGAAACATGTCATCGTCGTCACCAGGTCGCGGGTCCATTGTGGGAGGGGAAATGCCTTTGCTAGTTTTCTACGTGTTATTGAACCCAGAGAAACAGCCCTCTCATTGCTTAAGCCACTATTCTTTCTAGTTGTTCCAAGAGCGACCTCCGACTACTCAAGAAGCGGGAGCTTCAGAGGGCAAACAATCGCGCTAGGAGCTTGCACCCATGCACAAAGGGTATGAAGAGGCCCTTCACTGTTGTTGAAGACGAGGGCAGCTTCTCCGCAGCGCCACTTTTGCCCCCTGATCACACCATCAACCGCTCTGAGTTTGACAGGATGCAATCGAACTTCACGCGTCCCCTCAAATCTGCTTGCTGATCCATGAAGTCCAGGTTGTTTGTCGATCAATTTGAAAGATAGTTTGCGGGCCATATTCAGTTGTGGTGATACATATTGCTTGATATTGCACAATCGGTGGTAGTACCCGAGCTCAAACCCTCGACGTCAGATGCCACATCTGTGTCAAATAAAGACATTATAGCTGTCTGTCACTACAATGACACAAGAACGTGCAGCCCTTGTGCCTTTGTTAAGATCTCTCAGGTGATGCACCCG